AAAAAAGAAAAATATATTAGCATAAATGAGTAAGTATAAGACAGTATAAAACAGAATAGCCAAAGCCTTAAGCATCACATTGAAATAGGTAATAAATCTGATTGGAAAAAAAAAAAGGAAATAAATTTAAAGTTGAAAAACCTCTCTTCTTAAAACTATGTTAAAGTTTCGGATTAAAGACGGTATTTTGAACCATTTGACTTGCCGTACATCCAGTTGTGCTTCTTGCGCACGCTAGTTCTGATCGTACGTATGGTAACTAGGCAACTACGTAAGAATTGTAGTATGGTTGCGTAAAGGGAAACAGGCATTCCTAGGGGAACAGAATCGACTGCTACACCGGCGGAGAGAGTCGTGAAGACGAAATAAAGCAGTAAGAGAACATTAAATTGTTAGGTCAACTTTAAAACACATGTAATCACCTTATTTGTTTTATACCAATGCTATCTGTAAGGTATAAATGCGTTTGGGTGAATAAATGTCTGTAAGAACATCGGATGGACTGTATTTTTGTCGTTTTGTTAGGTTAATGCTTCAGCTACAGATGATGTGTTGCGCAATTGTTAATTGGGTTTCTTTCTTTAGTAATGGCATTCATTCTCACTACATAAGATACCTGTCTGTTATGTAGTGCCCTGTTATACTGCATTACTGTGTAATATTTATGGTTTCTATAGCCGTGGCATCATTATGATGGTATGAAGAGATGGATTAATTCATGTAGGACGCCACTGAAGGCCTAGGTGTAAAATGCACGGCCCGCCACTGGAATTAGGATAATATACAGTATTAAGATAAAATACATAAAGTTGTTAGATCAAAACTGGAGCATGTGACACGGCAAACAAAAATATCCAGATTGAAGAGTGAATGACTGAAGAAATGTTGTGATTAAAACGCCACCAAACGCACTTAACAGAGACAACTGCTGCTAGATATTAAAATTACTCACAACATCTAAACCATGAGAACAATGATATAACTGAACTAAAACCAGCACTTACCAAACAGAACAAGATTAGAGGACTGAAGAGTTCGCGCTATTATTGTTGTTCTTCTTCTACGGATTGTGTTGTGACTGGCGGTGAGCAAAGAAACTTCAGATGAATTACCGCCACCTGCTGGACTGGAGGATGGAGCTTCGACGCGCAGGGAAAATATTTAACTTAAAGTAGCTTAAAGTACACAAAAAGTAACACTGAGTAACGCTGAAGTCAGGGAAAATATCAAGAATGCACTGAAACATGCGGTATGATGTATTTCAGTTGCTTTTCAGATGAAATGCTTTCTTCTGATTCCACCTAGTGGACGCCGTTATTAGCATAATAAATAGGCTAAGTATTTGTCTATGGTTATTAGTGCGCATGCGCAGATCGAACCGCCAAAAGCCCAAAGTAGCCTATACTTCACTTTGATAATAATAATAATAGTAAAAAAAAACTTCACTTTGATGAACTCAAACAATTACAAAATATGTTAGAAACACCTTATATTGTGCATTTATTGATTATTACAAGTTGCATTTTAAACAGTTTGCTACACAAAAGTGAGACAAGTTCTGGGTTTTACTGAACGGTTTACTGACCGCTCTCTGAATCAACTGCGGTTTGCTGAAACCAAGCGTGGTAGATAAGGACATTCAATCATATATAGGCTATTAATGTATAAAACAGGAATGAGACTCATCCCTTGAATACGGTAATCTCCACAGATTCTTTTTATATTCCAAAACACTTAGCCTACTTAACGGGAGATTATAGCAAGACAAGACATTCTCTTAGCCTTTTCTTCAGACCTCACATCAACAAGGAAGAAATAATAATAATAATAATAATAATAATTTGTAATAGGCTAGTTATCAGCTCACGAATGGTGGAAGGAAATGAAGAAAGGTCATTATTCAAAGCTTTGGATTTAGTTGAACAATTTTCATGTGCCTCTGGTCTTAAACTTAATATATCCTGGAGTGTCATTTTTCCTCATCATACTTTTTTCAAAGCCTAAAATCGTTTCTCGTCATCGAAAACACACAGGGATCGCTTAATATAAGAAAGCAGTTTTGAACGGATGAACGGTGTTCATTCATTCTTCTGTATTTTATTGTAATTATGCATTTGCCAACATTAATGTTCTTAACAGTGTTTTAATTTAAATATAATACATCTACACTACTATATTATGGAGATATGATGAACATAAAATGCCACTGAACCTTTTCTGAAGACAGTCAGTTCCTTCCAATCAGTGAATGACTCTGGTTCAGTGCTCATGGTGGAATAATTGTTTTAATAAATAAGTCCATATAGCAGCAGATGTTTTAACATAGCTGGGTCTTATTTGATAACTTATCACTTATTTCATTAACCCGATTAACCTCAAAGCAGCAGTGAACTGTAAGAAACATGCAGCTGCTCACGAAGTTAAACATTCAGATAATTACAAGTGTATGTTTGAACAATCATAACCACGTTATCTTCATTCTACAAACAACTTGGGTAACTTGGACATTTTTCAAATTTAAAATAACAAATAACAGTAAAACAAGGGCAATAATTCAACACTAATTAATTGAGCTCTCAAGGTTTTGTTTCTCCAGTCGTATTGACTTTAATTTTGGGCAGTGCTTCTTTGTGTGAATCAGTGCAGTTCCGGAACATCCGAATCTCTTGCCGCACTGATGGCACTGGAACAGTTTCTCTCCAGTGTGGATTCTCTCATGGTTTCGCAGGCCTCCTAACTGTAACGGTTCTGAATATCATCAGCACAACAGTGATAATGAAAACCATAATGACGAATAATATGTCCAAGGGGCATAATGTAAATAATAAACAGTAATGGGCCGAGAACAGAGCCCTGGGGAACACCCTGTCTAAGTAAAGCAGTGGAGGAGTTATAATTGTTTATAGCAATGTAGTATTGTCTATTTGTAAGATAGGAAGAGAACCAGGATAACAGGATAGAGTGAAACAATAATCACAAAAAAGGTAGCACTTTTTAATTCCTTGAGCTCTTAAGGTCTTGTTTCTCCAGTCATATCGACTTTAATTTTGGGCAATGCTTCTTTCTGTGCATCTGTGCAGCTCTATAATATCCGAATCTCTTGCCGCACTGATGGCACTGGAATGGTTTCTCTCCAGTGTGGATTCTCTCATGGTTTTGCAGGCCTCCTAACTGTCCAAAACTCTTCTCACAATGTGAGCACTTGTAAGGTTTTTCTCCAGTATGGATCCTGCGGTGCACTTTCAGCTGAGTGGCTGTAATAAAGGCTTTTCCACAATCTGCGCACAAATACTCTTTCACACCAGAGTGGATTTTTAGATGTTCTTTAAAACAGCGCCGCCATGAAAACCTCTTTCCACAAACAGAACACAAGTAAGGCTTCTCTTTTGTGTGAGTTTTTTTAATGTGGGCCTTTAGTTGTGATTCCAGAACAAACCTCTTATCGCACTGATCACACTTAAATGGCTTTTCTCCGGAGTGAAGGAGTTTATGAACTCTGAGACTATTTGACCATTTGTAACTCTTTCCGCACTGATCACATGTGTAAGGCTTCTCTCCGGTGTGAATTCGTGAGTGAGTATGAAGGTGGGTTTTAGTTGAAAAACACTTCTCACAATGAGGACATGAGAAAGGCTTTTCTTCACTGTGAACTCTCATGTGACGACTGAAGAGGTCTTTACGTCTGAAACTCTTTTCACACTGAGGACACTTGAATGGTTTCTCATTACTGTGAGACTTTAAGTGAGTGCCAAGCGTTCCTTGACTTATAAAGCTCTTTCCACAGTGCTGACACACATACGGCTTCTCTCCGGTGTGAATCCTTATGTGACGTATTAAGCCTTGTTTACGTAAGAAACTCTTTCCACACTGAGGGCATGTGAACGGTTTCTCTCCGGTGTGAATTCTCATGTGTTCTTTGAGGTTTCTTTTACTTGTGAAGCTCTTTCCACACTGATGGCATGTATCGTCATCATTCTCCTCTTCAACAAACTCCATCTTTACATCACAGCTCATTGCCATGCAGAGGACCAGATCTGAAAAAAGAGATTATTTTATACATTTAATTCCACTTTAACTTTATGGAACAATGCATTTTAAAACTTAAATGACCACTGTGTCTGAAACTGGGTAAAAAAGCAGAGCTACTGTATAATAAAGTAACTCCAAACACAGCAGGGTTACTCGCCAGTTTTCTAATCTAATACCCAATGTGTTGTATTGACCAATATTTTATTAAAATTAACAGCCTCAATGCTTCACTCAAAAGAAGTGGCTCTTAAAAAACACACTTTGAGAATCAGAGGACACCAGGGTTGTGTAACAGAACCAGCCGAATTAGTTCTTAAAATGAGCCCAATCACGGTCAAAACTAACCCTATTGCGTTCCGGGGGTTATATTAGGATACCTTGATTTACGTCATTAATGTACACACATTTTAAATCCCATCAGCCGTCTCTTCACTTCAATCAAGCATTGTTTAAACAATAGCACAAAATTACACCTAAAATGATGCTGCAACCATATCTGAATGAAAATGCACATTTTGCATATTAAAGGTGCAATAGGTGATTGTCTTCAGAAACATTTTTTGTTATGCTGGTTGAAAGTCTCTTCACATCCCGATAGCAATCATTAAGTTAAGTGGTCTAAATGTATTTATCTGTATTTATATATTCTGTGGAAGGCGTAGGACCAAGAAATGTACGTCCAATCAAAACACTCGGTCCGAACGTTTTAATTAGCTTTCCTACCTGTCTGTCAACTTATGTATCTGCATACCTCTGCTCACCCGGTTCGTGCAGACAGGATACGTCATCAGCGCGTTCACGCACGCTGTGCGAGAATGGCAGACCTGGCAGACAAACATCAACAACCCGATCTTCCTTTCTGGTATTGTAGTACGCTGAAGTGCAGGCACTTGTAGCAAATGTAGCACTGCCAGTTGTTGATGGAGATTCTTAGTCCTCCTTTCCGTTCTTTCAATCTCTTTATGTATACGTCGACTTTCCATGTCCATTATTGTGAAACCCGCGAGACACAACAAAAACACAGCTCCGATCACAGCGTCCTCCATCCTCCTGTTGTTAATGTTGTTCTTCTTTGTTTCCGTTGTTGAACGCCGCGCACAAATGACGTCGCTGTCGACTGGCTTACGTCACTTCTTAGTACACACTGTCGGTGCGAATGCAACCCTTTAAATGGTACTGGGAAATAGTTCGCGCAAAATCGTCCCAGTACTTTAGTACTGTACATTTAGTTCTGGAACTAAAGCGGTGCGAAAGGCCCTCATGTTGTCTCTGGTATTCTGGTCTGTGAGCTTATAGGTTCAGGGGGCGTAGCTTTGGACGGTGATTGCAGGGAGGGTGGGACGTTCGCTTTCAGTGCTATCAGGCTAAAGTTAGCATTTTCCAAGATCTCCTACTGCACCTTTAAACAACTGCTGACATTACTGATCATTCAGTGATTATTTGGAAAATTAGGTCGAGAATTACGCTAAGCATAATACACTAAAGGTTAAAAGTTAGGTAAATGTAACTCTAATTTACCCTATAGTAAAAGATGAAGTCTACCTGAAGACCTACTTGTTTATGTTGACCTTCTGTTCATTTCATTTTTGACTTAAAAAGAAATAATCAGAAACGAGAAACAGTTTGTGCTTTTCCATTTTGTTTAAAAATAGGAAAAATTATAATTAAGATAGATTTTTTTTTAATGGGTTTACTACAGAGCCCCAAACATGACATGTGCGGGAAAAAAATTGTTCCCACGAATTACGTCAATACTAATCCCACGACTTAATGTATGACTTAGTAATTTGCTCCCTCCTTTTAAATAAACCATAGGGGTGTTGTGTTCTCTCTCAAGTGTTGTTTGATAATGCTTTCAGCACAATCAAACTCGATGGATCAATGAACACTAACATCGGTGATATCGAGAGGATTTGGCGATTCCAATTGACGTATTAAATGATTTTATTATTATTATTATTATGGTTCTTTTAATTATTACATGATGTGTAGGTCTACTACAATCAATTTGAATTTCATCGCATTACCGCACAACTGACGTGAAGCAAGGATAATAAAAGATTAAATCTGCTTACTCCTCATTAAAAAAAATATTTAAAACATTTAGGCTAGATCTATTGTACAATGCATAGTCCTATAATTAAAATTCTTAACCGTCTAAAATATATGTCTGAACACTGTAATCAGCCATCAATGAAAATAAGAGCAGGTTTACTTCAGACAAGGAAATTCCAAAAACTTGCCACAAGGGAATTTTTTAGAAAATAAATTAAGACATGAGGAAATATGAAATAAGTTCATTCACTTTATAAAGCACTTTACAACTGCACCTGCAGACCAAAGTGCTGTACAAGCAGCATAGAAAAACATAGAACACATAAAAACAACACACAACCTAGTAATACATCAATTACTAGCCCAACCTCTCAAAGGCTAACGACAAAATATAACTTTTAAAACACGAGCTTTAAAAGCATTTAACAAAGTAATCTCCCTAAGTTCATGAGTCAAACAGTTCCAAAGCCTTGGGCCCGCAACAGCAAAAGCCTGATCCCCTTTTAGCTTTAAATGAGTTCGAGGAACAGCAAGTAATGACTTATTGCTTGATCTTAAAAACCTAGGTGCTTGGTGAAGAGCAATAAGCAATAAGCCATCCCATGCACTGCTCTAAAAACATATAGCAGAATTTTATATTTTATCTTGAAGTCCACTGGTAGCCACTTAAGAGAAGCCAAAATCTGAGAAATATGATGACTTTTCTTAGCTGCACTAACTGCAAACGTGATATAGTGGTCTAACAGGAGCAGGACCCCACAAACAAAACATTGCAATAGTCAAGGCGAGACAGAACAAAGGCATTAATAACCTTCTCTTAATCTTTTCTCGACAGTATAGACTTTAATCGAGCAATAGATTTGGAAGAAGCAACTCTTAACCACAGCATTAATCTGCTTATCAAGTTTCAGTTCTGGGTCAAGCACAACACCTAGATTCTTTACTTGGTCATGGCAGTAGTCGGACCATGTGCCTAAATATGTGGCAATATCTGTGCATCCTCTGGCAGGGCCAAAAAGCATAATCTCAGTTTTACTTTGGGTTAGTTTAACCAAATTATGAGTCATCCAGCTCTTAACCTCCTCCAGACATGCCAAAAGTAAATTAGCACCACAATGCTCTACTGATTTCAAAATGAGATACATTTGTGCATCGTCGGCATTAGGGTTGCAAAAAGGTGGAACATTTCCAGTAAATTTCGGAAACATTGCAGAAATTTTGGAGGAAATTGTCCATGATTTTTTTGGGAATATTCCAGGAATTTTTGGAAAGTTTCCGGAAATTTACCGGAAATTGTCCACCCCTTTGCAACTCTAGTCGGCATACAAGTATTTTTTTTAAATCGAACCCAGAGGCAACATGCACAAAGAAAATAAGATAGAGCCAACAACAGAACCCTGAGGTGAATAAAAATAAATAAATAAATGATTAAGAACATTTATTAAAGAGGAGTTGGAGTATAGACGCACAGTTGGCTTGGAAGACGTGGACCTATGGTTTATCCATTCTGCAATGCGAACTGGAGGTAAGCTGCTAAATTGTAGCTAGTTTGATAGCGACGGAACTCATAAAGACCTCCCTCTTTTTGCTGCATTAAAGATTAAATTGTTTAAGTTCTGTTTTCACACAAGCACAGTGAGGGAAAAGCACTAAGTTATCGGTTCGTAGCTCTGCTTCAACTCACGAGGGGCGACCAAAATTTCTGACATGTCAGAAATTCATCCAACTGTACAATTGCCAGTCGCTACTCATTTCTCGTTTCACTACACTACACGAACACTGCACGACAAATGACAAAGCTGAAATTCGTCTAAAAAAAAAGGGTTGCATGAGTCAGAATTCGGCTCAAAATTCGACGATAATCGCACAGTGTATGCCCTGCTTAAAGTATGACAGGACTGAAACGGGGATGTAGCCTGTTCACAAAGAGAGTGCTATTCACAAAACATTCAAGAAACAGAATGGATTAGTAAATCTTGCGCACATTACTTAAAACGAGGTAACACATTTTGGAAATCGCTAAATTGTACTACACTGAATCCAGTTACTTATATATTTACTTAGATTTTGCTTCAAAATGCATTTAATTTGAAACGTCTCTACAAAAAATAGGGGGAAAAAAAATCTTCGCTTACAGGCAAAAAGAAGTTGCATATAGACATTATGTAGCCCCGCCCCTTTTCAGGACGGCGCTCGCTGTCTTATGTATTCGAATAGTTGATGGGCACCATTGACTTCCATAGTAGGAAAAAAATACTATGGAAGTCAATGGTGCCCATCAACTGTTTGGATACTACTAACATTTTTCAAAATGTCTTCTTTTGTGTTCAACAGAAGAAAGAAACTCACACAGGGTTGGAACAAGTGGAGGGTGAGTAAATGATGATTTTCATTCTGGAAGTGAACTTATCCTTTTAGAACAATCATGTCGTCTGTTTCGCAGTGCAGATGGATTTTGTTGATACGGATTTAATTTGATTGTTAAAAGCCATATATTATTGTATTCTTCTAACAGAATTTACTGATCAAATCTAAGAAATTGACATTAAGAGATCATGCATAAATTTAACAAGGTTAGAAAAGGGGGCAAAATTCTTCCAGTAAAGTACTTTTACATAAAAGTTCATTTCACAGTGCTGTAACCTGACCAACGCACAGAATATGAATATGAGCCTAAAATAGCTCTAAACAATTTGTATTCATACTTGTGAATTACCTTGATGTTACGTAATTTTAGGTAGCCATCTAATCAGCCTTGATAGTAGGGAAAGGGA